TCCTTGTGTGAATAATTTTAGTTCCTTTTTAACCAGAATTAATTTGGTCACCAGAGTAACACAAAAGTAGTCGAAGATAGTTCTTGCCTCCAGGAAGTGTACAATCTAGCTGGATACATGAGAAACAGTAACCCTTCAAGACAGCATTCAATAAAGTGTTTTAAATAATTCCACAGGCATTCAGAGAGTGGGAGATACCTCCTATAAACAAATTTCACAGTTGCTTCAATCATGCTCTTCAAACACAGGGTTTACAAGTTCAGTTCGTTTCGTGTACTCTTTAATGAGAGAGACAGAGAGAGAGAGAGAGAGAGAGAGAGAGAGAGAGAGAGAGAGAGAGAGAGAGAGAGAGAGATCCTCCAGAAGAGTGGCAGCCCGGCAGCCACCGAGAGCCAGTGATGTGCTGGTGGTGCTGGAGCCATCTGCTCACCAGCTGTATTTTTAGGTTCTCACAAGAAGCCCATTGCACGTCCTGACAGTTGAAAAGATTTAGTTTCAGCATTTTTAAAGATGGAGGAATTGGTCATTATGATTTTTTGTTTATTTTTCTGAAAATATCCAAGTTTATTTGAAAAGGCCCAATTAAGAAAATTGATACTGGCTCAGTCATTTTGATTGATCAAACTCATGTTCTTTAAGGATCTTGTATTCTCTATAGTACAGATGCTGCTCCCTGAGTTTAATAAGTTCTCTTTGATTAAAGTAGCCATATCATCTCCAGTATGTTAGAGAAATCATTAAAGTGAAATATTGAAAAATAGGTTATTTTTCTCTGGCCTTTGCCCTCCTCATTGGTATATCTCATTCTAGACCCCTGGCAACTATATATTCTTTTCTTCTCTATCCTTATCAAGACCTGATCTGAATTAATATAACAATTTATTGCCTTATAGATTGTTGTCTGATCAGATAACACTAGAAATCCTTGCTGGTTCAGTTTCATTTGGGTTTACTAGTATATGGGACGCTTTAAGACAATCATGTAGAGAAGCAATGGACAGTCCTTCACAGGCACGGACAGTTCTTCATGACAGTGTGTACCACTGAGGCTTGGAGACATAGTGTGAAGAGATATCAAGGAGTAGAGAGACACAGGTACCAACTTATGACGTGCCTTGGGTCCCAGTGCTGCCCTCATACATCACTGCCTGTAGGGAGCTAACGCTCCGCAGGGAACTCAGAGGCGGAATTCAGTTCCCTGCAGGGTGTTACACAGGGCGCTATGGAAGCTGGTCCCAGGGAGCTCAGCTGGTCCAGGGAGACCTGCATGTGTCCCTGATGAAGAGACAGAACTGGAGGGGTCAGAAGAGTCACCAGGAGAAGTGGGAAGGATGGGCATTCCAGGTGGAGGAAAGAACATGTGTGATGAGCTGGAGTCTAATGTGGAGGATGCTGCCTCTCTGGAGGCACAACCAAGTACCCGGAGCATGGGGGCCGGGGGGCACGAGGGAAGAGGCAGGCCGGTGAGGGAGGCACAGGGGCCAGAGGATACAGGGCTGAGAGCTAAGAGCACGAGGCAGCCCTTGTGAGGAATTTAGTAGGTAAGAGAAAGATGGTCAGATTCGAATTTCTGAGAGTCCTCTGCGGCAATGTGGGAACAGGTTTGCAGAAGAATGGGTCTCGCTCTCTGCTCTCAAAGCTCTCTCTCTCACTCTCCTTTCTTCCCAGTCCTCTGTTGGTTCTACCAGGCAGTAACTAGCATAAACACGAAGGCTCTGCTGTGAGGAGCTCAAGTACAGGGACGTGAGCTAAAGTCCCCGTGAAGACAGAACGTCCAATTATAGCTCCAGTCTAGTTCATTAGCTTTATCCTAAAATATGCCACCACATCATCGCTTTCTTTAAAAAGTCGACTTTGAGTCAGTCCTGTTTTTTTTAGAAATGAAGTTTGAGCTTGCATGCAGCACGAGCACTTTCCGTTCACAAACACCATGCGGGCATATATGTTCACTTTAAATATCCTCACTCTGCTGTATGGAGTTTGCCCCCGATTGATTCAGCCAAAGTTTGGCGATTTCTGAGTGATTCGAATACTTCAATTGATAAAGATGAGGAAAGGGAATTTATAAAAGTTTTCCATATGGGATGCAAAGAACCATGTTTTTTCTTTTGCAATGAGAAGTGGGTGGAAAGGAAAAATTCCATCTGGCATACAGCAGCCCTAAATGTTGTTTTAAAATAGCAAAAATAGAAGATTGCTGAAAATATCATAACAGAACATAACAGACTGTGGGCAAGTGTGCAGTACATATTTCTCTAATAAGTCAGATTAAATACCCATATTTTACTTAAAACATGACCATGTTCTTATTTGTCGTTACATGAAAATTTGTCTTTAATTTTTAAAAAATAGTCCACTCCATTCCTGAATGAAAAAGGACTTGTTTTAGTCTTTTGAAGTCAATGTTATAGCAGTTAGGTTTATCTGGAATTAGGTTTTTCCCATTTTTTTTATTTTCCAATATTTTCCTCCTATAATAAAAAAAAAGAAATAAGATATGGCATGCATGTTCCTTTATTGTACATTTGTACATAATTAAGTGAACAAGGCTCAACAATTTTAACAAACACTTGTAAATGTTCTCTTTGTTCAGGTTCCAGGAATGGCTGGGCATGATTGGGGCAAGCTGAGTCAGAATAAGGGATTAGGGGCTGCTTCAGATCCAAGAAACACACAGAGGGAGAGAATAATGGTGAGAATAAGGTAATTAAGATGGCAGGAAGTGGCTTGGGGGTAGGGATTTATAAGGAGGCTCATGAAAATGTAATGAGTCATAATCTGGTGGTCACAAAGGTGAGGGTGGGGTGGAATTTATCAAGGTAAAATTTTGGCCTTTTGCAATCAAAGAGGGGAGAGAGTGTATAGTTCATACAGATGATTCTTTAGACTTTTCATGGTCTTCCCTTGGCTAGGATTTATAGAAGTAAAACAAGCTCTATATTGATACTCTTATGAATAAAGACGGCTAATGATCTGCAAAGGGCACAATGCAAAATGAAATCCCAAACTGAATTTTATGGTTGACAGATGCTATCACTTTCTCCCTGCTCAGGGCGCTTACTGTTATTATGAGTCAGGGGATTGTGAGGTGTTGTTCTTCCCAATTAATCTGAGTACCATGGAGTTTTCCTCTGAGAGTCACGGGCGCTGGGAAGAACTTTAGGGGTCATGTGTCTTGATTATTTGGGTAAGAAATCATTTCATTCAAAAACTGGCACCTGCTCAACAGGATTATAGAGTTTCCTCTAGAATGGGCAGTAAATACTGTACATCCCATTAATTCTGTTGGAAGTTTATTAAAAAAAAAGAAAATATTTAAAAATATTTTCATTGATAATAGTCTGTTAGTGAAATAGATACCCTTTCACCTCTGTCGTCAGAAGAAGCAAAAAATCATGAATAAAAATAGCAGTGATCTTGCAGGTTTGTTAGAGAAAGTTGTCCTATAGTCTTTGTACTCTTACCTCTCTGTGCCCCTGAAGTTGTACTTTGTGGGGCCCTAATGCGAGGCTGGCCCCATCAAAATGACCCTGGTCCCAATGAAACGTTCTGTCGAACTGCTTCTCCCCTAAGTATCAGCAATTACTCCATCAGGAAATTAGCACAGCATCTCCTGCAAGCAGGCACAAAGGATTTTGTCAGCAAAAAATAAATGGGACCATTCAGCAGTTCTTATGAAACACCCATCGGGAAGCACGGACCTAAAAATTATCTCCGTATTAAAACAATACTCAGATATGACTCTAAAAACAGGGGAAACCAGAGGGTAGTTGAGGCCATGGAGATAACACTGTCTCTTCTAGAATTTGTATGGCTCAAATTTTAAAAGATGTGAGTAGAACTACAGAATATAAAATGGCAGAGACGGCGCACACGTGGCCCAGGTGGTGCGGAATTTTACCTGCAAGTTTGAGATGAAGGGCTAAGCCAACAAGGTGATGAAGGGAAGATTTCTACCTGGGATAAGGCAGGATTCTGACTAACCCTTAAAACCCAAGAGAAGGAACCTTGGAGTAAAGCAGAGAGCCCACCCTATTCGGATTGTCCGAAGGAATATAGTTGACTGCCAGATGCTTGTGGTCAGGAGTATTCATGACTTCTGACCCGTTAAGTGCCATTTCCATTGTCGTTCGGCAATCAAATTTGACCTTTATCTCAGTTTTCAGTAGATCCCATTTCCGTCCCAAGTCAGTAAATTCCTGCCCTTGGGTATTACGCATAATCTTGGCATAGACAGGAGATCTGCACAGACCTGAGAAAAGTCCGCCACACCCTGGAAAAACCCTTATTAATAAAGCTCAGAGTGGCCCTAGGTCTATTCAACATCTGCAGCTGCTTATTCCCCTGGGCCCGCCCTCGGAGGTTTGCCAGTTTTGCTTCTTAGCTCTGGCTTCTACTTTTCTGCTCCACGTGTGGCTACTCCAGAACCTTTAGGGAAGGGTGTGTGAGGGTGTTTCGATGGTCCCCTTTTGTCCCAAACCTGCGTTTTGAGACTGCTTCAATCCAGAATAGAAAAGCCAGGAGTGGATTACATGAATCCATGAGTGACATGGGATGGCCTGCTGCAGACCTCCCACGCTGGGGACCCTAGGAGGAAGCGTTGGGTAGCATAGGCCTATGGACGACCCATAATGAATTGCATGTGTCTTTAGCTGAGTGAAGGGAATTCAGTCACTTACATAACTTCACTGGGGTCTTCAGACAGAGGCCAGCATCCCTCATCACGCCACCAGAGACTTAGTTTCTCTACCGTCGGCAGCTTTTCTCAGATTCCCATGCTCGAGCTCATGGAGGTCATTGGAGGGAATCACACTAGGTCAGTGGTCGGCAAACTGCGGCCCCTTGAGTGTGACTCTTCCACAAAATACCACGTGCGGGTGCGCACGTACAGTGTGATTGAAACTTCTTGGCCACACTCAAAGGGCCAAAGAGCCGCATGTGGCTCGCGAGCCACGGTTTGCCGACCACGGCACTAGGTGAAGAGGGGATTCAGCCAAATCGCTATTTAGCTTGTTCCTACCAGACGTGCCATTCAGCCACAACACATAGAGCTGACTTTGTTGAGGGCCTAGGTAATTTTCAATCTCAGGAGGATTTTCCCCTTTTCATATACAGAGCACATTTTTAAAAGATCTGGCTAAGATTAATTTATTCTTGCCCCCATGCATGGGGAAAAGCATTTGTTGAGCACCTGTGAACCAGGCATCACAGAAATAGGACAGAGAGAGAAGTAAACCAGATCTGATTTGAGCCCCACAGGCACCCACCATTTAGTGAAGGAAATGGATGAGAAAACAAAGGCAGCAAAGAGGAAGAGCAGTTATCAGAGAGAAGAGAATTTTAAAATAATAAAAACTACAAGGAAGAAAATTGAAGTATAGTGATAACTAACCACATTTCTCCCTCCCTTTCCCAGTATGTACATTATGAGGCTTTCCTTATGTTTCCATAACATACGTTACTTAACCATCTCTCCATTTGAGGGGGGGGGGGGGGGGTGGTCCAAAGGTGTTTTCAAAATTTTGCTGTTAAGAATGATCTGACATGCACATCTCTACAAAAAAATCTTTACCTAATTTATATTTCTTAAGGATAAATTCCTAGCTGAGTCATTACTACCTACCTACAGGTATGAACTGTGTTATCTCTTTTATGTTTTGTTTAACTCCTTTTCAAAGTGTATTCCAGTTTTCACTTACTTCAGCAATACATGAAAGTACTTGCTTTGTAATGCCCTCGCCCTCACCTTCACCCCCATTGAGGATTATGATTCTTAGGAGGAGAAACTAAATATTTTTGTCAGGATAATGGGGTAAGGAGATATTGTTTTGTTCAAATTGACATTGCTTTTCTAGAGAGGTTGAATATTTACGATTTATGTTAATCCACTTACCTTTCTTCTGTAAATAATCTATCTCCTTTGCCCATTTTTCCATTGGGATTTTTCTCATTGATTTGAATAAGTTCTTTAAATATAAGGATATAAATCTTTGTCATATTTGTTGCATGTAGTTTTCCCCACTTTGTTTCTTACCTATTTACTTACTTTTATACATATGAGAGCAAAACTGTTGGTTCATGTTTTTAACTTAAAATTGCTTTTAAAATTAGAAAGCCCTTCCCAAACTTTTGGCCAAATACTTAATTTTATTTATTTTCTACTATTTCTTCTAGAGTTTTCACTCAGGTCTTCAGTGTTGCTGGGATTTATTTTTGTAATGTGAAAGTAAGATTTCTTGGTTAGCTATCACATGCAAAATTTTCTTTCATTTAATTTACTATTTTGTTACCCACATTAAAAAATCCATTTTATTCTGGAGGAATTGAAACTCTGTTAACAAACTTCCTCCAAAGTAAATATATTGACTACAAATTTCATGAGTGACATTACCTCTCTGAGCTTTAGTTTTCTCATTTCTAAATTTAAAGGTGAAAGATGTAAGGTTTCTTCTAGCTCTAACATTCCTTTCTTAAACGGAAGACACATCTCCTCAAGTTCAGCAGCATCCACACTTTGGGGTGTTGTACAGTTTTTGGGGAACTGTCCCCACATTAAATGGATGCCAATTGATTATTCAGGAGGCTTTGAGTTTTTACTCTGGTTGAATATGCCTGTCAATGCCAAGAATCATTCTGTTCTTTTATGTTCTAAAAATACTCCTGTGGATAGAACTTCTGAAAATTTACTCTCTGTGAAATGCTGTTGATATGGGACAGATGGCTGAGCTAACATATCCTGCTAGAAAGATCTCTGCTATCAGGGTATTAAAGCCATGTTTCAAGTCAAGTCATTAAATATTTGGAATTGTTTTTCTGAGTTCAGAATGTCCTGATGAGGACTGAGATATGGAACTCCTGAATAATGACAAACTAAAAAAATACTTGATTGTACTGCCTTGAACTCCTCGAAATGACAGGAAAGTGGCCTAGTTGTTTATACTGGCTAAATTCATTAACCCCTATCTACAGCCGAGCTCCAAACCACTGCTTCTAAAAAATGCAAATTTTTATCTCTCCCATGTCTCTCTCATAAAGAATCTGCTCTTTGCAGGCGATCCCATGTTTTACTTGAACTTTTATCCCCAGCATCTAGCACTGGGCTTTCAGTTACTGTTTGTGGGCCTGAATCGGGCAGAGAAGGCAATTGTGGGTGATTTAGAATCTTTCCCAAGCTCAAGCCCTCAGACCAGATCTCTCCAAATCCAAGTTGTACCATCTCCAGGATTCCAGCTCATTGGAGATCAAGCTTTAAATGAAATGGCGTGTCCCTCGGGAAATTAACCTGGAAATGACAAAGCAGAAAAAGCTGGGAGATCCATGTGATAGTCAATTCGTAACTGTGGACGAGCCTTTGGGAGAATTCATACTTGCTGAAGAGTAGACACAAACTTTGAAACGTCAGTGAGTCCGTTTATGAAGCAAGAATCTTACCTGGGCAGGTTTCATCCTCTTTGTCACCCAGGTGCAAATCAGTATTCAGGAAAAGAGAACTCTTCTGGGTCCATCGCTTAAATACTTCCCTTTCTTTTCAGTTCATTCTTCTTTCCCCTCTTACCCATCCCCACCCCAGAAAAAGAGAGAGAATGACCTCCTCCTGTGCAACCAAATTTAATTTGTCTTCTTTAACCTCCTCTCTTCCTTTTCATTTCCTAATTCTGTTTGTTTGCGTCTCAAATAGTTTTAACAATATTTTGTTGCATTTTCAAATTCTCTTAACCTATTTTAATACCAACTTTCCGTGGCTGTACAATGGGCCAAGAGTGACAGGATCTTACCTTTCTCCCAATTTGTCGCAAACTGTGCAATGAGGTTTCTGAGGTGGTTACTGCAGAGACGAAAGGCGTGCCTCTCTAAAAACATCCAGGAATGTACGAAACATGAAAAAAACAAGGTGTTTACTCAAAATGCTTTGTATCTCCTTGCTCCCAGGCCATGTGATCTAGCAGTTGCTATGGTAACTAGGAATTTTTTATTCCATAACTTGTACAAGTACTGAGGCTGCCCTTTTTATTAATGCTTTGCCCTCGCTGAAGTTACACACATGCACGTGTGTACACACAGACACGCAAGCATATTTGCATGCACACATGCAGACACACACAAACACCGAAGGGATTGAGAGAGTTTAGCGTCCCTTGACTTGAAGCCTTTGCATTTTCTAAGCATGTTACTTAATGCTATCTTTACATTTTATTTTAATATTTTTTCCAGCTTTATTGAGGTATGATTGACAAATGAAAATCGTATCTATTTAAGGTACATGATGTGATATTTTGATAAACCTATGCTTCGTAACATGATTGCCACAATCAAGCTAATGGACATATCCATACCTCACACAGTTACCATTAGAGAGAGACAGAGAGAGACTCTAGAGAGCTACTTTCTTAGCAAATTTCAAGTATTCAATGCTTTTTAAATGTGAAGAATGCTGTTTTTAGATCTGTTCATAGTTAAGAGCTGGTTTTTTCCATAATGAACAAAATAAACCAACCAACAAAATAGAACCAGAGGCATGGATACATGGAACAGACTGGCAGAGGGGAAGGGGATGGGCGAGACTAGATGAAGTAAGGTGAAAAGATTAGTCAAAAGCATATATGAATACCCCATGGACACCGACAACAGTGTGGGGATGGCCAAAGGCCGGGGGAGGGGGATGCACGCAGGGGCTGGGAAAAGGTGGGCAAAGGGGGGATATGGGAGACAGCTGTAATAAAAAACAGTGTTCATTACATACAAATAAAAAAGTTAGCTTTTCCCAGTATTCCAGTTTATGAATTAGGTCTTAACCAGGGGCCTTGCCTAACACAGCTGAGTTTTCAGTGGGAGGAATTTGGAAGGCGAAACCAGAGCCATAGGGATCAGTGAGGGCTAGCTCTCAAGGCTGCTCTAAAATCCACACTGTCCTGTTGAAGGTTTTGTAAAGCTGCTACCTGGAATTATTCAAACCCAGGTGACAGGTATGTCCCCTACAAGAATATAGAGACTTGGAGTCATAATTTAGCATAGGTTTTTATCCCACCTTGGGCTGCTTGGGAAAGTACCAGTTTGGCATTTTCCCTTTAGAATAACTATGCATGTATGTTACACACACACACACACACACACACACACACACACACACGTGCGCGCGCACGAGAGCAGATTTGAGAATTCTTAGAAACTAAAAGGTATTTCTGTGTAACATTTATAGTGTCATTTCTATAAAATCTAGGAAGCAGGATTCCAGATTTATTTCTTTTTTAAATCTCAGATAACCTATGAGTTGTATTTTGAGGGTCACCAATAATACAAGGTGGAAATAAGTGCTGTTCCCAGCACTGAGTCATCCACATTTTTGCAAATCCCGGTGCGGCAGAACCTGTTGCAAGTATAACTCACAGATAGTCGGCATGGATGCCATGAACTGACAGAATTTTCTGCAAGGGAGCAGTCAGCATCCTTTAGCATCAGCAAATCTGAAGCATGAACAGGACAAACCACCAGCAGCAACAAACAAGGCATGGAATTCACATGTGCAAAGTATTGGCAGAGTTCTCTCCAGTGATCCCAGTGATTGACAGTTTTCCCCCCTTTTGCTTCCACAAGTTAGGAAATGGGGAAGGATCTAATTTAGAATTTGAAGGCATCTCATTTCTCCTGAATTACCTTCAATAGGCCTCTATCAGATCATGTATGTCCAAGGCAGTGCCCAAGGTGCCCTTTGACCTAGGCTTCTTGATTCCAGCTCAGCTCTTTATATATATCTCTGGGCCCACTAACCAGGGGCAGGGGAGTTGGTATATGTATCTGATGAGTCTTAGCAGAATGAAATAACCACCATGTCTGGAACGGAGGGACGGCAGAGGAGCGGGGTTCAGTGGCTTCGCCCCAGTGGCCGTGGCTGACGTCACGCCTTGTTTGTTGCTGCTGATGGTTTTTCCTGTTTATGCTTCAGTTTTGCTGATGCTAAAGGATGCTGACTGTTTCCTTGCAGATAATCAGGAACCCCGCCCAAAGACTCAGGGCTCATAAGGCATTAACTAATTATTGAAATTATATTTTAAAAAAGGTAAGAGTCAGAGACAACTGAACTTCATTTCTCCCTTTGAGATTTCAGCCTCTAGAAGGGTATGGCTTCTTGGTGAGAGAGACTTAATATGAAAGGGTAAGGTGAGTGGCAGAGAGACACAGCCCTCCCCTCCCCTGAAAGTGATCCATTTCCTCAGCCCCAGGTCTCCAGCAGGGGCTGCGAGCCTTCTTTCCTCAGGTTCAGTGAGCTTTGCAATCGACTCCCCTGGTGGCTTCTGGGCGCTCAATGGTGCACACACCTCCATAAGGATCAGTTTTCAGTGCAACTGAAAAAATGTGAGGACATTATTTGTGTGTGCTTTTAATGGGGATTTTAAACACACATACACATAAACAAAATTGTAGCAAGGCCCTGGTACAAATCCAGTGTTGATGTTACTATACTTGGGTGTCATACAGATGCAATAGTTGGTATATTTTTCTGCATCCATTTATTGAGGGCTTTCTGTGCCTCCAGCATTCATAATTGGGTCAATTATGAATTAGTTGTTATCCCATTTTACAGGCAAGAACACTGATGCTCAGAGAGATTGAGCAACTCGGTTAAGATCACCCAGCTAGTAAGTGGCAGCTCTAGGATTTGAACCCAGGCAGGTCTGTCTTCACTTTGGTGTTGCTATCACTTTAATTTGACTTGGGTCATAAGTTCTTTTAAGGGCTGCCATCATCTGAGTTTAATTTTTGTACTAAGAATTGGTTATTACCCATGAAATAGACATGGATCACACCCTTTGCATGGGTCTGGCAGGAGTTTGGTAAGGTGTGTGAATTGATAAATTATTTTATCTAGTCCTTGGTGATTGAAGGGTGGTTAGGGTGAGACTATGCTAGGCCTTTTGCATGCACAGTTTTGTGTTCCTTTTTTTAGTGCTTTAACATATTCTGAAGGGTGTAACAGCCTCATATTTCAAATGACACATTGTGATTTCAGGAGTCCACCTTCCCCCTGGAACACAGCCATTGAATGGTGGTAGGATTTCTCTCCAGATGAGGCAAAGCCCTGTCCTCTCAGTACCGTTGGAGGCCTCCTGGGCAGTTGGGACCCCAGCCTTTCTCTGAGGACAGAGCTCTCCCTGGATGAGAAGGGCCTCAAAGTCAGAACCAAGCTCCGTTTCTGCTGCGGGTGATCTGTGCCTGTTAATCTGACTCTGTGCCTACATCTGACTATGGAGCCTGGGTTCCTAGCCACAGGTGGTCTCCATCTTGACCTGTGCTCTGTGGACTTCTAGCTTAAATTTCCCCTTTCTGCTCTAGCCTGCTCTCTGGACTGTGTCCCTCTGTGCCGAACCTCTGCCTCCCTGCCTTTGCCTCCTCTCTGTCCTTGATCTGGGCCATTCTGATGTATAGTATGTGCCTGCTCATCCATCATTCAGCAGGCCATTCATTCATTTCCCAGGCACTGTTGTTCTGGATGGTGGGATAGTCCAGAGAGCAAAGCCGACCAAAGCCCTGTTCTCACACAGCTAACATCAGAGAGGAACTTGTCCTGACACTCCTCCACTCTCTTCTCCTCTCCATCCCTATCGCTAAATTTGGTCATCAACCAATAAATTTTATTTATTTACTTATTATTAATATATGCTTATCGATTTCAGAGAGGAAGGGAGAGGGAGAGAGAGATGGAAACATCAGTGATGAGAAAGAATCATTGATCGGCTGCCTCCTGCATGCCCCACACTGGGGATTGAGCCCACAACCCGGGCATGTGCCTGACTGGGAATCAAACCGTGACCTCCTGGTTCATAGATTGATGCTCAGTCACTGAGCCATGCCAGCCAGGCAACCAAGAATTTTTATACTGGAACTGGAGGACTTGCTGGGAAAAGTTTAATACAATTTAGGCTTATATGATTTTTTAAAATCAACAATAACAACACCTCTGTGATTTAATAACAATTCTCAAAGGTCACGTGGGGAGTGTGGAGTGTAAAGCAAATTGTAGGGTGTGAATTGCAGTAAACTGATATGGGTATTAGACAAGACAGAGTGTCCAGACAATAAAGCATGCAAGAATTAGATTAAGTCAGGTAGGGAAATGCTAACATACCCTCTTCTAAAGCTATTAGAGTGTGAGTTGATTTCCTGGCATCAAGATGATGGATTGCATGGCCTGTGAGGGGGCATCTAAATTCATCAGTTGACACAAGCTTCTCTGGAAACCGAAAGGTCAGGTGTGCTGGATCATCCCCATTCCCATCCCTCCTTCACTCTAGCCCTGCTCTGTGCTGTGCTGCAGGCAGTGAGTCCTGACCTCTATGGACTATGGATTTTTTTTTTCATGATTGCTTGCCTCCCACTGTCAAGTGGGTAATGGCCATTGGGAAATGCCACAGCACATCGGTGTGTAGGAGAGAGTTCAGGTTCCTAGCCATGACCACACCCCTCGGTGACTGCAGCTCCTCCCTGGGAGCCTCTCACTTACTCCTGTAGCTCCCAATGGGATCCAGTACTCACTCTTGCCCCTCTTTGCTGGTTTATGGTTATCTCACCACTTTTTGGTTCATTTCCTCAAACCTACCTACACTTCTGTAAATAGTCCCTTCATTAAACATTAAAGATGAATGTGCCTCTCTTCTTTGCCAGAATGATCCATTAAGCTAATAAAGCATATTGAAATATACTTGGGATGCAAAGATATTGGCTTTATATTTCAAGATTTTACAGTCTATCCTCAGCTCTCCTGCTCTTTTCTCCCATAAGTTTACTAGCGGAAGTTGGCCTCAGGATCAAATTCCCAGCTTGCCCTAATTTAAGAGCTCTTAAATTTAAGAACTCGTT